GCTGAAGGTTGGTGCGTTCATCAGGGAGAGGATGCAACACAACAAACAGCTAAAATAAGTTTATGAACCACATAGAAACCTCCCACAAACCAAGCAGAAGCCACTGAACTCACTGGTGATCAACCCGATTTAAAATGTCTGTCACAACCAACTGACCTTAGAAAACACAAAGATGGCTACAGATACTGAGGTCTGTCTGTTTGCAAACCATCTTGTAAACCACCGGGCGTATTTTTTATTGAACGCTTTAGAAGGTGATTAATAAAATATCAGCCAGATGTCTTTAACTGTCACTTTTACACATATTGAACTAGTTGTGTTGGTAGCTGAGAGTCATCCACAACTCACAGTAAATTTAGTTTTGTATTTTTAAATTCCCTTGTGAAGGACTCGGTCACTACCATCACCTTCTAATAATTGATGATCAAATTATTTGTTCCAGGTCGGAAGGAAAATAAGTTGAGCATTTTAGTGACTTTTTAACTTTTTAAAATTTGTTTTGTTTCACTTTATTGTATTTTTTAATTTTTTACCCTGAAAGAGAACATTTTGTTGCCAAAATAAAAAGGTCAAGGAGGTCACTGCAGTTGCACTGAGGAGCACTGCAAACATGGTGGATGTCCAGTTGGAGGTGCAGGTTAAGATGATGTTTGACCTGGTGTGGACCAAAGGTCAGGACTTTGTCCATCCACCAGCTGACCTCCTAGAAACTCCACAGACACGGAGATTAAATTTATGAGGAGGTCCTGAACATAGACGCTGTACGGTATAAAATACTAAAACAAAAGTTTCTACTCTTTTATGCTGGTTAAAATCATTGTGTTTTCTTTGTATTTGGCTCCAACTTTTGAGATCCTTAAAACACAAACAAAAACATCAAAACCACCAACAATACTTTTTTCCAGCGCAACTGCGAATACGTCATATTCAATGTAAAGTACAAGACGCATCAATTAAAAAAAGGTGATGGAAATGAACAGTGTTAATTAATGTCAATTTCCGAAAGTGATGTAAAACTTGGCCATAAAACTTGTAAACAGTTCTGCAGTTTTTCTTTTTACCTTAGTCACTTTGTGTCTTTTTGATGAATTGACGATTCAAAGATTATGTGAAACATTCAGAAATTTGAGTTCAAGTTCAAGAATCTTTATTATTCCCATGGGGCAATTTGCTTCACAGTCAGTAGGCACACAATCCAGACATGGAGACATTAAAATAACTACAAAAGTCATCAATGTTCATTGAGGAGCCTGATCACTGCAGGGATGAACGAGTTTTTTAGTTCATTCTTCATCTGGATTGTATACCTGCGTCCAGATGGAAAAATGTGAACTCACCGTGGCGTGGATGATCAGGATCTGCCAGAATCAGCCTGGCCTTGTTCACTGACCTAGTCTTGTGTAGGTCAGTGAGGTTCTGTAGGTCAGTGAGGTTCTGTAGGTCAGTGAGGTTCTGTAGGGCTATGCCAGCAGTTCTGCCGCACATCCTGACAATCCCCGAGAGTTTGTTCCCGTTTTTGCGTGTCAACAGTTCAAACCAACAGATGAAAGTGAACGTTAAAAGTGACTCAATAAAACATGAATAAGACAATCTCATAAAAGTCGAGTCAACGTTAAAACCACAGAGTTTCAGATATACGTTCTTTTTAAAAAGCGAGTTCACGTGGGGGTCAAAGGTCAGTTTGTCATCAAGAGCAGTTCCCAGATATTTATAGTGACGCACCATCTCAACTGTGGAGGATGGAATGTGACAAAATAAATAAATACATACATACATAACAATTAAATGTATAATTTTATTATTATCATAATATAATTAAATTACTTGTATTAAATACACCATTAAATAATGAAATGCACCTTTTAAAATGATTTACGTCATGATTTATTTATTTCATTTTGCCCCATTCCGTCCTCCACAGTCAACAGCTTCACTGTTAATGACCTCAGGAGTGGCAACTGAAGAGTCTTTTCTAAAATCAGTGACGAACTCCTTCGTCTTAGAAACATTTAGTTTTAAAAAGGAAGACTCGCACGGTTCAGTGAAGACCCCGACCACAGGCCCGGGGTCTGGGTCATCACTGCTGAGAAGGGACAGGATGACAGAGCCATCAGCAAACTTTAAGATGTGATGCTGTGGGACTTGGCTGCGATGATCGTTTGTGTATAAAATGAATAAAATTGGCTGGTAGAGGACAAAAAGATTTAATGATTCATAGTTTGCAGAAAGCTAGAAATGAATTTGATCTTTTGCTTCATAAAGTCTCCTGACTGTTTCTGTTGTCTTTTTTTATCTGCCTCATAAGAATTCAGGACATTCTGTCCTTGGCTGTGCTTATTTATTAGTTATTAGATAGATTATTATTATTATTCATTAGATTTGTCTTATGCACATTAAGATTTCAATTCCTGGAGTCAAGACATGCGAGCAGCAGCCTGGGATTATTTAGGTTATAAGTTTATTCATAAGCATGTTTAAAATCCATCCTTTTACAAAAGCTTGAGTAAATAACCTTGTTTTGTGTTTTCACAATCATGTGCGTAAATTAGCTGCACAGTGACTGAAGCCTCATGACCTGGTGTGATTTGGTTTGGATCAAGCTTGTTCGTGCAGATAACTTCCACACTGTTACTTCCCAGACGGACTTTTCTCACTCTCCTTGTATTCTGGAAGAAGGTTTAAATGTGAAGGCATCGTCTTGTAAATCCATTCTTCTGTCTTCTGGCAGGGCGCTGAAACAACTGGATGGCACGACTTTCATGCAGCAAGAAGGTCCTGGGTTTGAAATGGACATGGGAACATTTTGTTGCCTGATGTTTGTATGTTCTCCTTGCACATAGAAGTTAAAAAAACATTCATATCAGGTTAAGTGGTGACTCCAAATGCCCTAACAATACGTGCAAGTTTGTGTGCATGGTTGCACCCTGCAGGTACCCAGCATCCCATCCAGCGACTTCTAGAGACCCTGAAAGAGTGGATGTAGTAAAAAGATGGTTCTGTCCACCCAGAGAGAGTCCAGCTATCCTGCAGAGGAAACTCATTTGGGCCACTTGTTCCTGCAATCTTCTTCTTTCAGTCACTATTCAGAGCCGATGCTCTTCGTATCCTTTTTATCAATAATAATTCAAATAATGCATCCGCCTTCTAAATTAAAGTTTTATTCAGTTTCATAGAAAACATCAGTTTTAATCATTAGAAAAGTGCTTGAACAGAAGGAAACAAAAACACATGATCAAAGGAAAACACCCGCAGGAAGAAATGAACTTCCATTGACCAGCAACGTTCTTTTTGTTGTTTTCACTCAACGTGAAACTAAACTGAGGTCGGACACATTAATAGACTGCATTAAAAACGATGAATGTGCTGTTGTTCCCTTTAGTTTTACAGTTTCAACTTGGAGCTGTGACATTAAAATCACAAATTTCAGCATCATAGTTGTACAAAAACATTTTTTTCGTGTATGTTTTATGTAGTTCAGGCCTGCTGATTTAGAAATAAAAAGGCACAATCCTCACTAGTTACAGTTACAAGTACTGCTTCAATAAAACAAATAAAAAAAAGCCAATCAAATGTTTTGAATAATGTTACAGTCACAGCAGAACATTTACGTCTTTAAAGCACAGTTTTATTTTATATTTAAACAAGTCCAGTTTGCATTCCTGATAACCGCTTGGTTCAAAGTTGCTGCTGGAAAATTTGGTGCAAACGACGTGTTCTTTTATCGTAGTGGTTCGCTGTAGTCCACGTAAAGCCTCCTTGTGTCCTCTTCTTTTCCTGCTTTGTGCTCGTCGCTTCACATGATGGGGTAGCTGGCCAGGTTGGCGATGCCGCACATGTTGCCACGGTTACGCGCCATCAAGATGTAACCGCTTTTGCCCCAAGACTCGCCCCAGCTGCCAGGGTAAAGCAAAAGGAGACGGTCATAGACGAGACGAGATGAAGATCGCCGGCAGTCACAGAGCATTCCAGGTTATTAGTTTGTCTCCAAACCGAAGCCAAACTGACAGACATCAAATCAACACGACTCGTTTCATATCAGAGGCTCCAGGAGCCACCTGATTCTGTTCAGACAGGTGATGAGCCTCACCTGTTCTTGACGATCCAGTACTTCTTCCCCTTTGGGCTCACTCCGTAGCCAACAGCCAGCACAGCATGATTGATGTCCTCTTTGTTGCAGTTGCTGTCATAATAAATGCCTGTGCACAGAAAATAGTAAACACCAACATTCAACCACACCAAACTTGACCCTAATATCTGTAAAACTGATTTATAGACACTTTTGTGGTTCTGGATGATTTAGCATTTTATCTAATGTGTCTAAAACAACTTATCAAACACCAACTTGTCCACTGGACCAGGAGTGTCTGTCCACTGACCTTTACTGTAGTAGAGGAAGGTGCTCTGCGTGGCGTCAATGCCCACCGACACCGGGCCCACTTTGAAGAGGGCAACAGCCAGCGCGTGCTCGTCACCTTTCGGCACCTCCTTGTAACCTTTGCACTGGGCTGCCATGCCTGTAGAGTTGTAGCGGCACGACTCGTCCTGCAGACACGCAAGACACAAACGTTCTTGGTTAATTTGTGTCAAACAATCTGTAAATTTTATTTCCCCTTTATAAGCACATAAGTACCAATTCTTATTTACGGCGCTGGCCTGGCAACCACCAACAGGTATTGTAGGGTCAAGGGAAGGGAAACAATTCAGTTATAGGTAAAACTATAAAATAGAGAAGACAATAATAAACAAGGAGATCATGATGTGAAATGGACAGAGCACCATCAATCCAAATTCCCAAATATTTTAAACTGTTACTATAATATCACCATTTAGTTGTGAAGTCCACAGAGGTGGTTATGGTTCCTCCTCCATGACCGAACCACATAATTTTAGTTTTCTTGGCATTTAAGGACACATTTAAGTCAGTAAAGGCCTGCTGGTTTTCAAGAAAACCACATGCAAGGGACTTGACTACCTCATCCAGTGTAGAACAAAAAGCACATAAAATAGTGTCAATGATATAAAAAATGGATGGAGGCCTCACAAACAGAACGCGAGATATAAATATGGAGAAAAGAGTTGGACCAAGAATGGAGCCTTGGGGTACACCTGACATAACTGGAAGAAACTGTGATGTATGAGAGTCAACCTTCAGTTGTTGCGACCTGTTCGAAAGCAAACTACAGAACCATGTTATTGGCTGTCCCGTTTTTGTTTAAAGAAAAAACAAGATACTGGTACTTGCATATTCACTCTTTTCAGAAACTAAAGGGCCAAACACCATTCAAGCAAGACATTTAAATATAAAAATAAGATTGTTTTTAGATTTATAACCCAAAGCACTATTAACTAAATGCTAAAATAGATAATTGGATATGAAAATAAAACTAAAAACTGTAGTTGGAGGTTTTTGTTCCTCGTCTTGTCAGCTACTTCCACATTATTGCACATGACTGATCACATGACTGATCACATGACTGACCACAATGCCAGTGTTCAAACAACGAGGGAGTTTTATTCACTAATGAACAGATTTACTTCTCTTAATTACTCGACAGCAAGCTCCTGGCCCTGAAGAAGTTTCTACCTTAACACTTCTGCTAAATCACGTTCACATGGTCAAATATTTTTCTGCAGATTGACGGTTAAAAATGAAAAGGGTGCACTTTCCTTTTTATGTTCTGGTTGAGACAGGATTTAGGCAGAGCAGTCATCATGACCAATTCATGAGGAACTGTTTCCCTCTTTGGTTTCAGTCTGAATCTGAGGCGAAAAGGAACTTATTTTCTTCTTGTGGGAAACATTTCAGATTACACATTTAAACTCAGCTAGATCTAAAGTGCACAAAATCCACCAAGTCAAGTTCTCATGATTTGTTTTTGTACAGAGTCAAGATGCTGATGTGGTGTTTCCACGTGGGAACCACTGTGAGGTGCTGTAGGGAAGATTTTGTGGATGGATTTGAAAACTCTGAATATATCGAGATGCTTTACGGACATTTAATTACCTAGAATAAAAATAATTGTTGACTTAAACCCTTTGAATTTAGATTTTAGAAACAAATGTGGCACAATTTACTGATTATGAAATGATGATTTCCCTTTGTTTCTGCTTGAGCCATCTGAGATGTAAAAAAAAAAAAAAGGCATTTTTGACTTAATTCATGTTTTCATGACATTTATATTTAGATGAGAACTAATATTTATAACAAAGTAAACTTGAAAATATTTTAGTCCTACCATGAACTTTCATGTGACTCATTCATAAATAATCAAGTTTATATTACTGGTATAATCATTTATCTGGTTATCCCCGTTTTGTATTCATGGCTGAGTATACTTGGTCGTATTTAAAGCTTTGCAAAATGATTTTATGAAGGCAGCCCTGGTTTATTCACTCAAGCAAAGCTAAAAACAACTTGTCAGCAGGACAGTTTCGGTTTCCCACCTGTCCGATGTACGGGTAGGCTTCCTCAGAATCAATGCCTCCGTTGTCTTTCACGTAACTGAAGGCGTTGGTCATGTAGCCTCCTCCGCAGCCGTCGTTCTCCTTGACACAGTCCACCAGGTTCTGTGGGCTGAGGTCAACGAGCTGACCCGTCTTCTTGGCCAACTGGCCCTCCAGAGCCCCGGCAGAACTGAAGGCCCAGCAGGAGCCACAGGAACCCTGTGAGGGGAGAGTAATGATGGAAGCAGTGGTTTAGGTTTGAACACTGACTCACAACTCACAGGGACTCGTATATAAGAGACCTGTGTGCCTTTTTGCAGAGTTCAGTCCGCACTGAGGGAACTCTGCAGGTAATGGGCTGAGAGCGCACGCTGTAACTGCACTGACGACGTGACAGGCCACAAATATATGCCTCAAAAGTCCAAGCTCTTAGTGATGAGAAAATGTAAATGAACAAATATAATTGTTGTAGTCGGTCACAACCGCTTTTCTTAGAAAGAGTAGAAATAAAAAAAATAAAGAATCACACTACTGGGAAGGACAAATTATGGAATCGTGAGGAAAAACACCAGTACTTTGTTGCACCTCCTCTGGCTTTCATAACAGCTTGAATTGTCTGAGGCATGGAGCCAACTCATGACAAACTCCATGGCAAAGGCTGTTCCTGGATCAGCTCTGAAGGTTAGAGACCATTTTCCTCCAGAGATTTTCAACTGGACTGAGATCCGTAGCATTTTTTAGGACATTCCACTGACATTAAATGTTTTTCTTGAAGAAAAGCGTTCATGTTCTTTGCTCTGTGGCAAGATGGCTTCTTGAAAAATGCAGTCATCATCATCAAACGTCCTTTCATCTGATGAAATAAGTGTCCAAACTTTTAATGTAGGCTTTGGCATTTATTGAAAATGTAACGACTGCTGTCTCCCCTCATGCAGGTTTAGATCAGTCATTGTCATAATTAATATATTTGTTTGGATGTTAATGGAAGTTTTGTTTGATGTTCCTGGGTACATCCCATTCCCTTTAGGTGATTTCTTACTGTTCATTCACAGACATTTACTCTAGTTTTCTAGTTCTAGATATGCCGTGAAAGGAAAAACAAACAGAAAATCTATAATAAATTTAATTATTTAGGAAATAGCTGCTTATATGAAAGTCTTGAAAGTTTATCATTGACTGATTGATCTACACTGAAATTAACATACTTGCCTTTTTTTTTAATAATTAATTTGAGAACGGAAAAACATCCAAAACATCTTTTTGCATTCTTAAATCTGCACATTAGAGGCAGACATTGTCTCGACTCAGAAACAGAGATGAAGGTGAGTCTGTAACCACTGAAATATGACAACGGACTTATGAGTTTTATACAACTCAAGAAGAACAAGTATTCTGAAATACTTGTTTAGCTTTACAGTACAACTTTAAACGTGTGCTCTATTTTAATTAAAGGACAGGCCAGGGCTGTGTTTGGACTGATTCACCTCTGAAATCTATATTTTGAACCATAAACTTTCACCTGACTTGGAGGTAAAACTCATTATAAAGGAGACTTTAAAGGAGTAATTTCAACAGATTAGTAATGAAGACCTTCAGCTCTGCTAACAGTAGAATTTGTCCAAATCAAACAAAACACCAAGACATGATTGAAGAACATGTAAACATCTGTCATTGAAGCAGGGGGGTTGTTAGTCAGCAGAAAAAACAGCCTTCTGTTGAATAATTCATGAACATGAAGCAAAGGAGCAACTTTTTGTATAATATGTGCATATTTAAAATCTATCCACCAGGGGGCGACAAAGACATTCACACTAAATGACAAGGTGAATTTGTCTTAAAACCTTGAAAACATTGTTAAATTAAATTGTTCACAAACACATAATAAAGTGATCCATCTAGTCCAAAACATGCACACATCACATTTGGAAATAAAGATAAAAAATCTTCAGTACTTGTTTTCTGAAAATGGGTTAAAATATATATTTTTTCATATTTTACAAAATTATTTATACTCCCAAAACACAATTTTTACCCTTCATAGGAATAAACAATACATCAGTTATGTCCCAGATAACATTGAAAACTAAACATAAAATAATATATTTGATTTTAAGTTAAATATAGTGAAGAATAAGCCTTAATTCTTTATTATCAGCTCTGTTCATCAGATAACATGAAGGTTTGCTGCTGTTATTTGAGCTATGAGCAGAAAATTATAGATCCAAGCCATATTTCCATCTTTTTTAGTATACATCCTGCAAAACAGCTGTTTACATAAATAATGTCGAGTTGTGGAGTCCTCTCATGACGACTAATTACATCAATACGTCAGCTTCACCTTTGTTTCTGAAATCCATTAGCAGAGAGCACAGCACAGTCCTGCAGCACGTGACGGGATTGTAATCTGACTACTGTTAGTTTGCATTGTTCAACATTTATGGAATAAAGGGAAACTTTAGCTGGAAGTCCTTTTTAAATTACATTTATTTGTGTTCTATGTGAAGCATCTTGCAGACTAGAGCTCATTCGGTTTTGCTGAAAGATGATTTCATGATTTTTTTTAAGGTGCTCTGAAGAAACTAAACTGCTCAGGGGGCCACAGTTACTGAAAACCAACAGCTTAGGGCCAAACATCTGACAGTTAATGTAATTACATACATTTACTTTCCAATATAAATATTATTTTATTTTAAATGAGCTCCTTGGTGAGCTGTACTGAGTTCATGCACAGACTGGATGTGGCCCAGGATAGCCCTGCTCGTCTTTACACCACAAAATAAAACACAATCTTTCCTTTCTGCCAGACATGTTCATATTTTTTTCTTCTTCTGAAAGTAAGAACATACTAAATCAAATCTTTTGGGTTTGCAATACTTGGCTCTAAAAGTCTGATTTTATTTCCTTCTCACAGTTTTGTCCCGCTTCACTTTCCTCATAAGATCCAAACGGATCGTGATTCTCCAAATGTTAAAAAGTCCCCATGAAGTTAGCTTTACAAACAACTTTAAGACATTTTCTTTCCAAATTTTCTTAAACTTCCTGTCATTATCGATAAATTAAAGAACAATCAAATGATATTGTGTCTTAGTGACCTCAAAACCTACTTCCAACGACAACCACCATGAAGTAAGTGCAACATTTAATTTTGAGAACAGAAACAGAATGAACATTTCGTGCTTGTGTTTGCTAATGGACCAACACCAGTCTAACCCCAGCATGGCTGCTTTGTTAACAGACATGGGAAGGATGAATTCCTGCTTCAATCATGTGACTGTTACATTTGATCGTATTGTTTGAAGCTCTGTTTTATGCTCCGATGCTTGTCCATTGTCACATTTCCCAGAACTGCAGAGATACTTGGCCCATTATTCACCATGATGATGGTGCCATTAATAGCATCATCAAGTATTCAGTCACCCGAGAGGTAGTTCCTAGCCGTGTAATGGATTTTGTTGTTACTGTTTGTGGAAATTACATTTCATGATATTTGTGTTTTCTGACGTGGACTGGCAAAAGAAGCATCAACACCTGTATTTTTAATGAATTCCCTCAATGGTTTTTGTCCCGTTTTGCATTTCTTCTATTTAAACTATACAATAGTTCATAAACACGACACAAATACCTTCACATGGTGCAGTGAGGATGACTGTTGTGTTCAAACCCTCCTGCTTTCTAACGCTGACTGTGCACATTTTTTACCTGGTTCTTCACAGAGGTCACCATGCCCTTCCTGCGGTAGTCGATGGATTTGGGAAGCCGGGAGACGGAGTCGTTCAGGGCCATGGTGAAACTACGCTCAGGGTTTGTCGGCACCAGCAGGCCAGTCATCTTCTCAGTCACTTCCTCTGATGTCTGCACAGACAGGTTTAGTTCAGATTAACGGTTTCTTTTGAGCAACAGAATAACTAAACCCTTAAAAGACAAAGGAAGAAGATAAGAGTCCATGATTCAGTCTCGGTCATCCAGGACAAGACAGTTCAAGCAAAATACATTTGGACTTGTCTTGAGGACAATTCACTTCTAATTTAAGCTTCGTCAACAGAAAACTGAAAGTGTGCAGAGTTCTGGGAAGAGTTCTGTCTTCAAGATTCAAAACAGAAGAAGTCGCAAATGCTTTAATTTTGTTGTAGGCAACTTCATTTATGTTGATACCATCAAATAACAGCACGGAACATGACGAGAATAAGAAGGTTTAAAATGTGCAAATGTTCCCATCATTAAACAAAAAAAAAAACTTACTAAAAAATGTTATTTGCAACAAAAAGTAAACCAGCAAGTTCTGTTTTAAAGGCACGAGAGGTCTGAACGAGGTTGGCACAAAACTTGTTGTTGCATGTTCAGTCTGGAAGTGTGAGCAGAGGGGAAGAGCCTGAAAGGAACATGGAAACAGAGGATTAAATATGGAGTCCTTTCTGACTGTTCTCTACTGCAAACTGTGGTCTCAGCGGTTCCTTGTCCAGGCCAACAATTTTTCTTCCCATTGCTTTCTTTGGAGAGAGGACAGAGGTGGAGTTTGCTCAGAGCTCCAAATGAAGCTGTCATTAAGGTGATGATGGATTCAACAAGACTTTTGTAAAAGAGGAGTATAGTTGACCAGGGAACTTGGAGTTAGGTTTTTAAAGAGACATTGACATTTAGGTAAGACTCTTTCATTAAAGTCTATTGTTGTTGTGCAAAGATAGTTGTACTTGTCCTCTGTCTCCAGATCTTGAGGACTGTAAGGGCTCCAGAAATGGTGCAGAAAAACTGGTCCATGCATTCGTCACGTGTAGGCTGGCCTATTGCAATGGTTTGTTATCAGGGTGTTCAAAAACTTCTTTAAAAAGTCTTCAGCTGATCCAAAATGCTGCTGCCAAATTTTTAATTGGAGTTAGAAGAAATCACATCTCTCCAGTTTTAGCTTCTCTCCATTGGCTCCCTGTCAAATTCAGAACAGAATCCAAAATCTTACTTCTATCCGACAAAGCTCTCAACAACCTAGCTCCATCTTATATTAGTGATCCTATTGTTCCACATTTTCCTAACAGAGTGCTTCGTTCTCAGACTGCAGGTTTACTTGTGGTTCCTAGAGTTTCCAAAGCAGAATGAGAGGCAGATCTTTCAGTTATCAGGCTCCTCTCTTGTGGAACCAACTTACAGTTTCTGTTCGTGAGGCTGACACATTGTCCAGTTTTAAGACTGGGCTTAAGACTTTCCTTTTTGATAAATCCTATAGTTAGGAGTGGCTTGGGTTTCCTCAGCTATCCCTTAGTTATGCTGCCATAGGTTTAGAACTACTTGAGGACAAACTGACCACATTTCCTCACTCTGCTGCTGTCTTTACTTGCTCTACTGGTTTAGTCTTTCTACCCGTTTTGTATTTGTAATTATGTTTTTATCTTTCCTCCTATAGATAGTACATCTGGACCCGTCATTCTGTGTCTGTTTCTCCTTGTCGTCTCAAACTCATCTGGTTGAAGCCGATGCTGCTCATCCTGAGCCTGGTTCTGCTGGAGGTTTCTTCTTGTTAAAAGGGAGTTTTTCCTTCCCACTGTCTCTTTTGTGCTTGTTCAGGATGGGAGACTGTGACGAAGTGAAGATTCAGTGTGATCTGCTGGCTTCCTTAGATATATATAACTTTGCTAACTGTTTTTTTATGTGTGTTAATGTTTCTGTTCAGTGCTCTGAGATGATCTCTGTTGTGATTTGACATTATATAAATAAACTGAATTGAATTGAATTAAGTGCTGGAATGGTGGTCTGCCCATTTCCTTGATCTTCAAGGCATCAAGGTCCATCAAGGTTGCATTTGATTCAACTTGTTAGTCAATGACAGATACGTTAAGCTAACAACAAACATTGTGTTTTATAGAATAGCTGTAAATAGAAAAATGCTTGAAGTCCGTAGAACGAGAGGTGTTTTTAGATTCATAACCAGGAGGTAAAAGAAAACCCCGGAAAGGGTCAGAGTGATTCAGTTGACAGAAAATAAATATGAATTCACAAAGAGATGGTTTCTGCACAAGAAAGTATAAAATGAAAAGCCACTTTTCATCGCACAGATGTCAAAAGGACGACTAGGCGTAAGACGGAGAGCAGTGGGGGAATAAAAAGTGATTTCTGTTTAATATTCAGCTGTCGTTTTAAACAACCATATTTGGCTCTGATTTTTAAAAACCTTCTTTTTTCCCTTAGAATTCGGCAGAGATTTGAACGTGGCTCCTAAATGCAAAAAGGAAGGAAGGAAAACAGGCCATCTGCTGACTTCTTTCATTTAAAGTGCCTCCAATCAAACTGGAAATGGAAAGACACCCTTCATTTATAGCCACCTGTTCCTGATAAACATGAATCGGTCATTAATCTGCGTGTACATGTTCTGTCACTAATAAATGAAATCTATCTCTGGTATGCTGCAGTTTATGAAGCCTTCTTTTCACTCAGTGTCTAATTTACAGCCTGCTGGAGCTGGAATCCTTCATGCAGAAACAACATCTCTAATGTGCAGACGGGTCTCTGATGACAGCTGATTTAAAGACACCAAACATGTCATTTTAATGTGCTGCAACAAGCGTGACGTCTGCAAGAAACCAGGATGAAAACAGAACAGGAAAAATGCAATGGGATAAAAGCATGGATTTCTGACCTTTAAAAGGTTGTCAATACCATTCTTCCATCCATCCATCCATTATCTTTACCCGCTTATTCCATTTTGGGTCACGGGGATCACTGGTGCCCATGTCCAGCAATCACTGTGCGAGGGGCGGGGTACACCCTGGACGGGTCGCAAGTCCATCACAGGGCCACATAGAGACAAACGAGACAAACAACCATTCACTCTCTCACTCACATCTAGGGACAATTTAGAGTTACCAATCAGCCTAACATGCATGTTTTTGGTCTGTGGGAGGAAACCGGAGTACCCGGAGAAGGCTGTCAATACATTTCTGTAAATACCTTAATTTATGCACATTATTCCTGGTGGCTCTACTGTATACCAGTAAGTGATTATGGGAACAACTTCCTGTTAGACAGGAAGTAGCAGTAAGCATTGGCTAACAATGGTAGCGGAGCATGGACCGCAGTTTATTTGAAAGTGATTTGCCTTCAGTTTAGCAGATAAAACACTGTTTTTGTTTTATTTACATTTTTTAACAACCATAAAGTTTACAAAAATAGCCGTGCTGAGTTCAGGTACCTGTTGTGTTTACGACTGCAGAACAACCAGACTAAACTTAATCAGTGGCTACAAAAACAGAGTTTTGAACACGGACCCAAAGCAAAACGTATTCCTGTATAAAGTGGTGTAGTTTCTATCGCCGACCTACAGATGACGAATTAAGAAGAATGTGGTTGAAATGTGAACTTGAAGAGACCACACAACACGCTGTATGTGAGCTCATTTCAATTTGTTGACAAATGGCCGACGGAGGAGAACCTGCATCCTACTTTGTGTCTGGACTACAATAAACCACCGGAGAAAAGACGTTGAATCCTCAGAAGGATTGAAAACAGTGACGAGAACAACGGGTATGATTTCAAGTGTATAGAGGTCACAGCTTTATAGTATTTGTTCATCTCTGGTATTACCGTTTTCTCTGCAATTAACCCAAGCTCAGTGATGGAGGACTTTAAGGCTTTGACTGGGTTCTATGTCTGCTTTAAGATTAAGGCCACATACAGTATAAATGGATTTATGTCAACTGGTTTCCTGCTTTTTGGATTTGGCTGGTTCCTGGTTTACCAAAATTCAAGGAAGTTGTTGGCGGCAAATTTGGACTTGGTCAGGTTGCCTGCCTTATATGATTGCTTAGTTTGTGCCTCGAGCACCCAGACTCACTTGCTTTTGGCAGGATGGATTAGATCTCGGGTATTATTCTCAGGCACGGTCCATTGGTGTGGCCATTTAATTTTCACGTTTCGGAATTGAGTGGACCGACACAGACTCAAGGTAGATGTCATTAATTTCTGCATGTTCCCAAAACAATAATGTTTATCGGAATTTGGCTCCCTGACTGGCCTTGACAGGCCATCTTATCTTAATTCGCCTGGAAGTTTTGTAAACCTTTGATCTGTTTAAATAAAGGTTGAATGAAAAAGGTAAATAAGATTGTGTCCCACCTCTTAACAAAACACCACCGACCTTGTTAATATGTAGATACTAACACACCTCAGAGCTTTTCAGGTTGTTCATCGCTTCACTGTTAGATGAACCGAGTCAATGAGGTAGCTAAATACGCTAGTAGATGTAATCTGCAGCCACTTCTTCAGCAGGCAGGGGTATGATTATATTGTCCTGTTTGAGCTCTGACAGGTGGTGTTCCTACAGGTTTTCATTAAATCCATGATGCTCGGAGAGAAACTACATTAGCTCGTACTGTTCGCATATAAACAAACGCCGTTGCTCCCATAATTCACGCAAGGCAGCACGAGGGCTATGAATAAGGTGGATCGATAATTTAATAATTTGAAAAAACTTTTTCAATCGCCTGTTACTGAAGAATTTTACATTGATTCCTTTTGGATAAAGTAGGAGACAAAATGTGAATTTTTAATGATCTGAAATTGAGTTCTGGGAACCAAAATGATGAGTGACAAAGTGTAAGAAAAAGAAACAAACAGATATTCTTCTCTTTCTCATGCACTTGCAATGAAAACTTAAAAACCAACATTTTACAAGTTTATGTGTAAGGAACCAGTGCACAGAGTGGGTGTACAAAGAAGGCAACATTTAAAGATAAAGGGACTGCGTCAGACCTACCATGTCTCCCAGGTGGTTCATCCCCAGCTCATAGGAGTGAATGCCCAGCGCTGCTTCCTGGTTGTGAGCTTCAATCATACGCATGTTCTTCTCCCAGATGGCCCTGCGGATCCCTTCTTCGTTCTGAGGCAAACACAAAGACAAGATGTCGGTTCAAACACAACAGGACTCATTTACAGCAAACGTTTCATCTTTCTGTCCACAAACGGATGCGTGGTAGACAATTGGGACCCCAAAACTACTGGTTTATTGACAAATGTCAAACGGAAACTTAGTTTAAAGTTGTAATCATGGGTCTTCCAAATTCAATATGCCAAATGGCTTTTAGTAGATCAGGTTATTAGAAACAGTTGGATGCAAAAAAACGTGTCGCATCAACTGATGGCTGCTTTTATTTTTTTGTCAGAATAATAGGTTTAAATGACTGCTGCTTCTATACCTTACCTGTTATTGTCACTTCTTTAAAACATTTTTGCCTTAATGTAATGTTTAAAAAAACAACAACAACCGGAACAAGACTAGTTCTATTTGAGGCACAAGTGAAGGCACAAACACAAAAGATGTTACACGGAAATTTGCTTTTTTATTTCCCATTTCCTAACTCGAGCAGCTACCTATTTACTTTAAAAGCTCCCAGCTGCAGGCACACATGCCATTATGAACCGACTGTGGAATAACATCAACAAACCAGGCTGTGCAGCGCAGACTGAGACGCTCAAAGGAACATTGACCTACATAGAGTTTCCATCAGTTTCACAAAATAAGAACAAAAACAAATGTATTTTCATTAAACCTTTAAAACCTGAAAGATCTAAATGAAGAAAACACCCTTTCACAAACCGGTGATATTTGTTAGACATTTAATTCCAACACACGCATAAACAATAATTAACCAGATGACTTCCTGTCTGTACAAACACCTGACAACTGATGGAAGCTTATCTGGGCAAACAGGGCAAATATGCTCTATAATTAGCACATTAAGAAAGTGTGTGCGATATAGCCTGATTTTATTAATTAGGTCATTTCAACCAGTGAATATTCATACAAAATACCCTTTTTTAAAAGTTACAGATATGTTAAAACAATATTTTGCCATTCTGATAACTGCTTATGTCAAATTATTTTCAGGCTTAATTAATGTACATATGGAAACACGATACAGACCAATAGAAATATGGATGACCTGGAAGCCCTCACTATAGGACTTTAACCATCATTAGCATAATTCATCATACTGTTATTAATTTCAACAATGCAAAATGCAAATGCTGCCCAAAGACTTTCTATTAACAGTTTTAATGAGGGCTGAATCTAAGGGTGTGTTGGAGGACAGTGTTTAGGTCTGCAAGGAATGCATCCCCACACCAAATCAATAAGACACTGAGCACATTATTAACTCAAAACAAGTAATATATAGCACAAGACAAAACGTGCACGCACACTGATGTGCCATGCAGATACACACACTCCACAGCTGTGGCTCGCTGTCCTCTAGCCTCAGGTAAAGAGGGAAGACAGATACTTGGCAAGCATGGAAGCAGTCAACAACACCAACTGAAATATATTTCTGTTGGGAGAAGGTAATAGGTTCATTAATTAATGGTAAATGGACTGTTTATATAGCACCTTTCTATCTAATCAAAAATACTAAAAGCGCTCTACAACACAGTTTGTGTCCTCCTTTACCTCCACACACACATTCATACAGCACTCTACTACATCTCTATGAAGATTAATCAATGTTAGATCACATTCATACACCAGTGGATGGAACGTACATCGGAGACAATGAGGGGTTCAGTGTCTTGCCCAGGGACACTTCAACATGTGACTGTTGGTGGAATCGACCCCCCATTTCTCCCATTGGAGGACAACTGCTCTAGCCACTCAGCCACAGCTGCCCCATAGTAAATAACCTGTAAATACCAGGTGTCAACCAGGTACGTACTCAATAAGTACCAGGCCACACCCTAAACATACCAGGCTCATACCTGGTATGTGAATAATTCATATAGTTTGGATGATTTGCAGTCGTTAGTACCCCTATCTGTCTCAGAAACCCATAAAAATATGTGAGCTCTTTGTTTGAAGGGATCACAAAACACAGTGATAACAAGGAGAACGGAGAGTTTACATTTGAGGTTATATCTATTTATATGACATATATTGCAATTTGTTTATAATGACGGATATCTCTAGAGCCTGACCGTTGTACTGGCAGGGCCACTATTTTAGGCCGATAGCTGTTTGGGGACCTATCGGTATCGGTGATAATTGTCACCCCGAAAATACTGGGAATCAGCCGTAATTGTACAATGTATCCAGCAGAGAGCGCATAAAAACTATTTAAGTCATGGCCGTTCACTTTAAGTTTCACTTTCACATTCAGCATAGTTGAAGCAGGGAGCAAGACTATGTAGCATATTTTGCTGAACAGAACATTGTAAGTTGATTGTAGCCAGTCTGTAAAATAATAATAACAAAATCAACAATAATAAGTTATTTTCAATCATCCAACACATTTGTCATTAGTTATGCGTCTCTCAAGTTAGCAAGCTAATATTTAGCATATTGCCTTGTAAAACTTTAGCCAAATTTACTTTGAATTTTTTTATTTTTATTGTTGTCCACTCCCAAAGATTCTGCCATTACATCGGCATTTGCACCTCCCAATATCGTATGGCCAAAATTTCCATATCGATCGGGCTCTACTCTGAACTGACCTAATATATCCAATGTTTGATAAAAGTAAAAGGGGGAAAAATGAACAATTTGGACTGAATTACAGAAATATTTTAATGTGATGGGTTGTAACGAGTTTGGAGAAGCCAAACTTTGTAAGAACAGACTTTGTGCAGGGAGATTTGGACACCTGCTCTCACTCCTTCAGAGAAAAAGATGACCTCGATTAACAACTAAACTTGAAAATGGGCTAATTATAAAATTTCCCTCTCGACTTCAGTCTATGCATGATGATCATCATGATCAGGTCACTGATTCTGTGATTTATATCAAGAAGAAATTAAATAAAACAACTATTTTTAGATAATGCATGAAAGTTGTACTTAAAACTTTAAATTTTGACAACTGATGATCTTAAAATTTTAAATTAAACTAACAGATCCAAAGCTTTTTAGAAACTACTTTTTCTAAATTACTTGCCGAGGATAAGAGACATAGAAGCAGTAAAACGTAACTCTTTCTGCTTTACATGTTCCCACGTTAGTCGTTTTTCTTTTCTTCTGAGCACCAAAAGAAAGAACTAAAACCACCGGCATCGTTTCCCTCGCTGACATTTATTCCCATCGTGTTTAACGTAGTTTTCTGATCAAACCACATGTGACATTTAAAGTCAACAGAGAAAAACACCAAGAAGGGAGGAAGCCATGTTTAATGTATTCTGCATGCTTGTTTCTGTTTTATTATAAAAAGGACTATAGGGATAATATAAAGTGATTATCAGTTTGGGTTATTGTTTTTTTTAAAGAGTTTTTCTGGTTTTATATTTTTGAAATAGTTTATTAGTTATTCCAACAACACAAGAACAGCTGAAAAATAAACTTTAATAGCTTCCTTTAATGCTACATGTGTCAATAAGACACTATACTGAAACCTTTATAGAATTTACTGTTGGTAATGTTGCATACTGCACCAAAAATACATTTTTTTTTAACATTCATTGGAATGTTAAAAAAAACAACAACTATTCAAATAATTAAAAACACAACGATTGTTTACTTTAAATATTCATGAAAATGTCTAATTTTCAAAGTTTTCTCAGCTGCTGATGCGGTAGAAACCGATCTGCTCAGAGGAAAAAACGAGCCTAAACTCAAAGCTGATAAATTTAATCAGATGCAGATGCTGAGTCAGCAGTAACGAGGCTGAGGGGGGAAATAAAAAAAAAGAGTTAGAAAAAAGAAGTACAGTTTGAAAATAGGAAAGGAAATGGGGTAATTACGGCTACAATGGTTTAAGTGTGAAAAAGCAAGTTGGATCTATAAATGTATCTGAAGCCCCCAAAATTAATAAAGCAATTTACACTAAATGGCCCTTTCCTGATATCAACTGCACTTTACCAAACATTTCCATTAAATATCTTTTGCCTTAGCTGTGGCAGCCGAAGAATTCACCCGATCACCATTTGGAGTTTTTGAAGCTAAAGATTTTTTTAGAAGCCGACAGACGATGTGCGGTGCAGGACACGCTTTCACAAACGCTCACCAGGCCGTTGTATTCTCTCTTGTGAGTGATCTTCCACTGGTCCCACTGAGCGTCCAGTGACGCCTCGTCCAGGTAGCCCAAAGCTGAGGCAGCGAGCAGCAACACACACGCCGACGACAACATCCTGCAAGCACACACACAAATTCTACTTTAACCGCACCAAATCACAACTCACCCATGGGAGCATTTTGAAACAACATTTCTGTCACTAACGTCACTTAATGTGCACTAAAAAGGTGTTTATATTCTAATACCTTTGTAATTTTATATATAACAGAACACAACATGACCTATTATTTTCCGTTATTAGTTTCTGTATGTTTTTTTTTTTTTTTTTCAAGTTGGTTTAATTTTCTGAGTTTGGCCACAAAGGAATTAATTAAATCCCAGGATCAAACGCTTTGTCAGCTGATTTTTGAAGGGGAAACTTTGGTGACTCAGAATCTCTTTATCCACATGCAGAGGTTTGCTTGGGTTTGTTTAGAATTCAAACTGTGGAAAAACAATAAAATGCTGGATTTTCAAAAAGTGTTGATTTCAGGCCGATCAAAGACAGGATAAGGACAAGCTGAATGATCATTCTCTAATAAAGAAAACTTTCCTCTTACATCAGACAATCCCTTTGACTTTTATTGTGTGAATGTTTATGAAGCAGTCACACCACTGTGAACCATTTTTTCTTCCATACGTGTTATGACATCTTTCTCGTTCCAAAATGTTTGTGCTAATTCAACAAATCATATAATAACAAAACGTTCAGCTTGTTCAGGAGAAGGGTGATATGACTTGGTATTGATGCAACTTTAGCTTTTTGAAATATTTAGCCTTTTCTGCCACTTTTTCCTCATAGATAAATAAATAAATATAAATAAAATATAATAAAATGAAATGAATTGAGCTCATTTTACATCCTTCAAATCTTTAGATCTGTTTACAACTTTTTACCGCTCCTTTCACATTTTGTTCTGGTTCAGCTTCTTTCAACTTCCTTCTGCAAATTTAAACTTTTTTTTAAGCTTTCTGCTAACTTCAGCTGTTTTTTTCCAGTTGTTTTGTGTTCCTTTCAGATTCTTTCTGCTAACTACAACATGTTTGTGCTTCACCTTCTTTCTGCTAATTTCAGCTTTTTCTGCTATTTCAGCTTTTATTTAGCTGTTTTTATGCTAATTTTAGCTTTTTCAGCTAATTACTCATTTTTAGCACCTCATTACAACTTAAGCCCAATTCTGCAAAAATTTTGCTCTCTCCAATCTGGTAATGTAAGCTTCTTTTAGCTTTGTTAGCTACATTTCAGCTGTTAGATTATTTCCATTGTTTTTGTACTCATTTCTGCTTCTTTCAGCCAAACTAGACAAACGTTCTTTCTGCTTTATTTTACTAATTTAAGCTTGCGCTACCTTTTCAGCTACCCTTTTAGCTACCCTTTTAGCATTTTTTTGTTAATTTCAACTGCTTTCAGATAAATAAAATATTTTCATGTTAATTTCAGATAAATTCAAAATTGTCATGTTAATTTCTGCTACTTTAAGTCTAATTAACTTCATTATGCTAATTTCAGTTTATGTTTCTTTCAGCTTTTTTCTGCTAGTTTCAACTTTTTCTGCTCTTTCAGCTACTATTTAGCTCTGATGTTAATTTGAGCTTTTTCAGCTAATTCCACATTTTTTTGAAGCTCATTTCAGCTCTTTTTCCTTCCTTCTGGTTTCTTCTTGCCTTTTCGGCTACTTTTCAGCTAACTTTTTTTTTTAGCTAATTTCAGCTTTTTTAACCAACTTCCTAATTTTGTGCTCATTTCTGCTCATTTAAACTCAATTCAACAAATGTGTTCATTTTGCTTTCTTCTGCTTATTCTGTCTTGTTTGTCCATTTCAGCTACATTTCATCTTTTTTTTTTAAACTAATTTCAGCTGTTTTTCAGCACATCCTTCTGCAATAAGCAATCACAATGCATTTTTGCAGGAAATGCAGTTATTATTCATTGCTCTGAAAACATTTCCACGTCCTGTTTCATAACTCCATGCCACTAATTTGCATGTTTGCAGTTTCTCGTGAAGGCCAGCTGCTTGAACCAGAACTGGTCTGCTTTCTTCAGGTTTGAGATTATTCACAGCCTCCTGCTTCACGCCGCTTCCTTCCCACACGCATTGATTAAGTACTGTATATGTGGAACAGCTTCACCTTTTGGCTGATTCAATGAAAAAAATGTTTGTTTTAAACAGAAAATGTGCATTTCATTTACAGTGTGGGTGTCGCGTCGCTGCGTGACTCATAAATCCTCTCTGGTTGCTCCTTTATGTTTTAGAAATCATTTAAATTGAGCATATGCATTGAATGTTTTGTGTTTAGAATGCATGTTGGATTTTTTTTTTTTAACCTAAATGTCACTTTTTAAAAGCTGAACCGGTCTCAGTTAATGCTGCAGCTCTCACCCACCCCCCAAAAATAACCCCATTATGCAGCTGGATGAAAGCTATTCTCCAGTTCTAATCTGATTAAGTCTAATTGCTTTCTTAGCTGGAGAATATATTTAAGCAGAGTTCTGTGCTTAAATTCAAATGGAGGAGATCTCTGAAGTCAGACTCTTATCTGCACCTGAAGTGAACTGAGGTTTGGATTGTTTCATCTTTTCCTTACCTTCCATCCTTTCAGACAGATTCAGACCTTCAGTGATACGAGCTCTGTTCAAGACAAATAACTAACAAAAAGTGAAAGTAAAGCTCCTGTAGCAGAAAATTAGCACCAAACTTGCTTACCTTGAGTTTAAAAGTTATAAAGTTTGAGGAAGTCGTCGTGAGTTGAAAGCTTCGTTTCTCTTGTTGAAGTAGGTCAGTGTGAAGAGTTTATATTCGCAGGATTTTAAGGAAGTAAAACGGGAACTCTGTATGTGGGGAGGAGTTTTATTTTTTCCATGCCAGCAAGTTACATCTGGTTTCCCTCAAAAAGCAGATGGGGATGATGTCAGGCGTCGGATTACAGAGGCACGTCTGAAAGCTTCACACAAGAGACGGCTGCAGGCCGGGCTCATGCTTCAGAAGACAGTAAATAAAAAGATAGATACAAATTATGTTCCCATAAGAATTTGAGAGATTTAAAGCAATGAATAAGATTATAAATGGAGCCCATATGATTTTCAAAAGTTGCTTAACTTATGCGGTTCATCTTCATTGAGGACACAATAAAGACAAGGCTGGTTGAAAACTTATAAAAAACTGTTTATTTCAGACTGCAAACATTAGGGCATTAAACAAAAGAGTCAAAAAGGGTGCATAGGCCTTTGAGAAACTTTCAGACATGTTAACAGACGAGTACTTCAAGCCCTAAACGTGGCTTTTCAAACATTTCACTGCAAAACTCTTCTGCAGAAAACAGAATGCCCTTCCAGAACTGTTTCTTTTTCTTGACTTAACTTTATTTTAAAACTTGAAACAAATAATTTGCTATTGTCGATGTTTATTGATACACGTTGTAACATATTTTTACCCTTGATCTTTCAGTTTTTAAACTGCATTCCGTTTAGCATCAATTGCAGGAGACATGGATCCCAGATGTGAGCCAGAGGTGCCCACTCCTGGTCCTCCAGGCTCATTATCCTGCATGTTTTACAGGTTTCTCAGCTCCAGCACACCTGGTTTCAATCAACAGGTGACCAACAGGATCCTGCAGGACACACTGAGGTGAATCTAACATTGGATCAGGTCAGGAGTTATAGTTTTAGCTACATTTAGCATAGCTTTTGCTATTATAAACCTGGTTTATAAGACTTTAGCATTTAAACAAGTTCCCACCACAGATCAAAAATAGCTTTCTACTATATTTATATTACATGACATCTGTTGTCTGGTGGTTTGGTGCTTCCTCCTTTTCCAAGTCGTGTGTGTATATATGAACAAGCCGCGTGATTTCGGTAGTCATGAGTCTAAATACAGGAGCATCATCATCATCATATGTTCAGTGATACATGTCAGTAATGCAGAAGATTATACATGAACTAATATGAGCATTTTAAATGAAGATTTATTAACAAAACAGTCATTAAAATCACTTTTCACTACTATAATTATTGCTTCTAGCTTATATTTATACAAAACAATATTTGATCATTTTCATGCTCGTATTTAATTATTATTATTATTATTATTTTTACAATGCATAGCTGTGTACCATGATGTATTTATGATGCAAGTGAAGTATTTTGTATAAGAAATGTGACTGGGATAAATTTTAAACATATGATCATGTTTTATTCAAATTGTTCTACTCAACATTTTGCAGTTTATCATTTATATACAAACATAACTGCTGCAGTAGTTCTTCTGGGCCAAATATCATCCTAATTCAAAGTTTGAGTCAATCTAAGGCAGGGGCGTCCAAACATTTTTACACGTGGGCCAGAACTTTTGTTCAGATTCAGATTTGTTTTGTTCCTCCTCATTTTAACAACTTGAATAACATTTTGGAGAAAGACTAAAATTTATTTTAAAATATTGTAGATCCAGAACATTAGGAGCCTCATGAACCATCTTCCCCCCCTTCTTTTTTAAAATAATTTAATTTATTAGATTTTTGGGGGGTGGACTGTTGTTTGCTTTCTTGTACTTTGAAAGTTAATTTTTGTTTATTTTTATAGGGAAAAGTCTCAAATGAGTAACTTTTCTTTAAATCAATCCCCCGTTTGGACAACAGACGTTTGGACAACAGACGTTTGGACCGCAGACGTTTGGACCGCAGACGTTTGGACC